TTTAAAAGTTAGCCTCTTGTCAAAAAAAAAAAAAAAAAGGAACACATGCTTGAATCTTACTTAAAAAAAAAGTTGAGTTCATTTACATTTAATGGTATGTATCATTACTGATATGGTTCCCTGTAAGTCAGTCATCTTGCTATTTCTGTTCTATTTACCCCAATCTCTCCTCTATTTCTTTTTTTCCTCTTCTTTTCCTGCCTTCTTTTGGATTGAGAATTGTTGACAATTCTGTGTTCTCTCCACAACGACCTTTTAGCTACACCTCTCTCTGTTAGTTTTTCCTTGGTTGCTCTAAGGGTAACAACACACATCCTTGGCTTAGCATCATTTGCTTGAATTATTATTATACCACTTCATGTATAAGTAAGATCGTCACAACTCTGCAGTTCATCCCCTTCTGTCCTTGTGCTACTGCTGTCTTATGTTTTACTTCTGCATTTGTTATAAACCCTCAGCACCTTGTTATTGCTTTAAACAGCCAGGTGACTTTTAAAGAAGTATTTAAAAAAACAACAAAGAAAAATAGTCTTTTACATCGAATGATGCAGTTATCATTTCTGATACTCTTTATACCTTCCTTAGGTCCAAATTTCCATATAGTATCATCCCTCTTCAGCCTAAAGAACATCCTTTAGCCTTTCTTGTAGCGTGAGTCTGCTGGCAACAGATCCTCACTGCTTTTGTTTATCTAAAGCTGTGTTTAACCTTCATCTTTGGAAGATATTTTCACTGGATATAAAATGATAGGTTGGCAGTTTACTCTTTCTTTGTTACTTTCAAGATGTTGTTCTGGGGTCTCCGGCTCACGTAGACAGTTACAGTTTCTCATGAGAGACTGGCTGTCATACTTATTGTTCTTCCCGCGTACCTAATGTGTCTGTTCTGCTTTTTTCAGTCTTTTTTTCACTTTGCTTTTCAGTTCTAGAAGTTTCTATCATCATATTCTCAAGCTCAGAGATTTTTTTCCTCAGCCATGTCTGGTCTCCTAATAAGTCCTTCAAAGGCATTCTTCATTCTGTTAACACACTTTTTATCTCTAGTATTTCATTTCCTTTTAAATACATATGCAAAATATTTTAACATGAAAACTCTAATAATATTAAATCTTACACCCATGTGTCCAGTAAACAAGCTTAAGAAATAGAATCTTTTTTTTTTTGCTCTTTTTGGGGGATGGGGAATTGGGTTTATTTATTTACTTTTAGAGGAGACGTTGGGGATTGAACCCAGGGCTTTGTGCATGCTAGGCACGTGCTCTACCACTTGAGCTACACCCACCTACCCCCCAAGAAATAGAACCTTATCAGTACCTTTGAAGCCCCCAGGTGCTCCTCCCCTGTCACTTACCCCTTGAAATGTACCTTAGAGGGAACATGAAATCTTGGCCAGGAAACTGAAGAATTTGTGACTGTAGGTAGAGTTTTCATGATTTTTTCCTGTTCTAGGTTGAACTTCAGGGAGGGGGTGATCTGGGAGATAAATGGCTGAAATTCTGCTGGATTTGTGTTTACAGACCACGGCTCTGATACCAGCAAGAAGGGCCTTTGCTAGGATTAGAGTATTTCTTTCTCTCTTAATGGAGGCACTGGGGATCGAACCCAGGACCCCGTGCATGCTAGGCACGCAGCGTACCACTGAGCTGTCCTCACCCTCTGGATTAGAGAATTTCTTAAGAGGCCTGGGAAGAATCTAATTGCCCTGAGTTAACTGACCTTGTGAAGAGGACCTTCAACTGAATCCCAGCACTTCTCTTTGATTCTTAGGATTTCCATCTCTCTGCTTATATGAGCCATCTGCTCTTAAACGTTGTCTGTTTTCTCCATGAAAGTCCTTAGCATATTAATCATGGTTGTTTTTTATTTTAAATTCTTGGTCTGAGAATTCCAACATTTGTGGCCTATCTGACTCTGGTTCTGATATTCGGCCTCTTGTAACTGTGTTTTTTGCCTTGTAATATGCCTTGTAATTTTTTGCTGAAAGGTAGCCGTGATGTACTGAGTGAAGGAAACTGCAGTCAGCAGGCCTTTAGTGAGGTAGTGGTGAGGGGCTGGGGTGGGGGAGGCAGTGATGTATTGTTGTATGATTAGGTCTCAGGGTTCCGGTGGGCCTGTGCCCCTGGACTGTGAACTCCTCCAGTTCTTCCCAGTTTTGTTTTGGTTTTTCCCCCTTAAGTGGGACAAGGTGGCCAGAGGGGTCTGGAGTTGGGATAGTTCCCTCCCCGCAAAGGCTAAAATTGGCTAAAGTTGGGTGTGTCCCTACCCCCACGTCAATTAGGCACCGATAAGACGCCAGCAGGTTAGGCTCTGGTGAAATAGTTTCTCCTGCGGGCCGGCCTTGTGAGGAAGAACAGAATGCTCTGGGGTACTTCAGGGTGGGTCCTCTCCCCTCTCCCGTCTCCCTTCTCTCCTCTCCCCTCTCCCTCTCCCTCTGACCAAAGCAGTTGGGGACTTTTCTCCAGTGTTCGTAGTGGGACCAGATCAAGCCCCTGGAGGTAAAACTCAAAAAAGTGTGAGTCCCTTGCAAAGACTGGGTCCCCCTGGAGGTTTTAACTCTCAGTGTGGTGCACACTGAGCCTCCAGAATTTCGTCATCACATTTAGGTTTCACTGTTGGGCAGTGGGTCCCAGGGAGGTTTCCGGTCCAGTCGGTTGTGACCCGCCTGTCTGTCTCTACAGTTTTGGGGGCAGTGGTTTGCTCTGTGACCTCACGGCTTTGGCTCCTCAAAGAAGAGTTGTTGATTTTTCAGTTTGTTTGGCTTCTTACTTGTTAGGACAGAATGGCGACTTCTGAGCTCTTTATACGCCAAACCAGAAATCTGCTTTGTTTTATTTTTCAATCACATTTGGAAGAAAGCTGGTTGACATATCCTCAAATTTTTTTTCTGTTCCTTGTGCTCTCTTCTCTCCTTCTGGGACTCCAGTTACACTTAATCGAGGCTCCCGTGAGTCATTGAGGCTGTACTGTTTTTTTTCAAAAAATCTTTTTTGTGGGGAGGGTATAGCTCTGTGGTAGAGTGTGTGCTTTAGCATGCACGAGGATGTCCTGGCTTCAATCCCCAGTACCTCCATTAAAATAAGTAAATACATAAACCTAATTACCCGCCCCTCCCCCCCAAAAATCTTCTCTCGGTGCTTCAGTTAGAATTATTGCATTCACCTGTCATCAAGTTAATTGATTCTTTCTTCCGTTAATGGCCCATCTTCAGTTAATCCCAGCTGATGAATTTTTTCTTTTCCTTTTTTTTCCCTAACGGAGGTGCTGGGGATTGAACCCAGGACCTCCTGAAAGCTAAGTAGGCGCTCTACCCTCCCCATGAATTTTTTATTTCAAGTGTTACCATTTTCATTTCCAGGATTTCTATTTGGTTCTTTTTTGTTTGTTTTACCATGTTTACATCCCTCCTGAAATTCCCCATCTCATCACACATTATATCAATTCCACTAGATTCTCTAACATAAAATTTAACATTCATCATTGATACTTTAAGCTCTGTGTCTGCTAATTCCAGCATCTGGGTTGGCTATGGATCTGTTTCTACTGACTGGTTTTCCTCTTGAGTATAGGTCACATTTTTCTGCTTCTTCACATGTCTAATAATTTTGTGTTGCATACTGGACAATTTTAGATGACTTAGTGGGGGGAAATCTTCCTCTGGAAAGTGTTGATTTTTGCTTTAGGATGTCGCTCGGACTCACTTTGTGACTTTACCGACCAGCCAAGGATTAGAGAAGAGTATTTATAGAGTTTGCTCCCCTACGGGCTCCCTGCTTGCCAGTATTTCCTCTCAGTTTCCTCCTCCTCTGGCCATATCAACCCCAACCTCTGACTCCTCAGGCCAATGAGACTAAAGCTTTCCACTTGAGCTGTGTGCCAGGCGGAGAGGGCTGGGGTGAGCCCCTAGAGGAAGAGCCGTAAATACATGGACGTTACCCAGTGTGGTTCCCTTCTTTCAAGGGTCAGGTATTTTTCCGTTTCTGGCTGCTCTTTATCACTTTCCGTTGCCATCTGGCAGTTGTTTTTTGCGCTTTGATCTCATGTTAGTCCAAACAGCCACTCTCTTCTCTGTCTCAGCCTCATTGAGCCTCCCTCCCACCCAACCCCCGCCGTGTCCCCGCCCACCCCCCAGTCTCTCACTTTGCGTCCTCTCTCTCCCTCCTGCAGGGGGAACCTGGCCCCAAAGGAGACCCTGGTGACAAGAGCCACTGGGTAAGCTCTCGCCCAGCACTGACCTCCCGCTGCCTCATCCTGCCCTGGGCACTCAGGAGATTATTTTGGGGTGGGGGCACCCCATCCAAATCCTCTTTGCCACCTGGTCTCCCAGGGAGGAGCCTTGACAGGTCTCAGCCCCAGCCCCCTTCCCTGTCCCATCCGTCCGTCTATCCCCAGTGGGCAGCGCCGCCTTTATCCGCAGACGCTCCACTCTCTCTGTCTTTGCCCCTGCCTCTGCCTTCCCTCTGTGGCCTTTCCGGGCCAGGGTGACCCTGCCTGTTCCTCCTGGGCAGTTCGGGCTGACCCAGTCCAGACTGCATCCCCTGCCTCCAGAGTCCCCTCCCAGCGAGGGCTTTGGCTGCTGCTCCCCTGTCTGCAGAAGAAGGGGAAACATGAAAACAATATCCACAGAGAAGGATGGGACAGGAGGCCTTAGGAAAGCCGTGGAGCAAAGGAAGGGAGGGGCAGAAATGCTGAGGTACACAGGAGCTCTTTGGTAAAAGGAACAGGGGAACTAGACACCACCAGACACATAGGAAACCCATGAATCATAGGAAGGGAGGCCTAGAAACCACCATGTACACATTGTACGTGGTACATGGGGTCAGAAGACCTGGATCCACTATACTCAAAGGACCTACAATTAACATGAGGTCCTAGACACCATCACATGCGTAGGAAACACATTAGAAGTGGGAGGAGCGGCCTAGAAGCTGTCGTACGCATGGCAGAACCATGGAAAATGAAGACGAGGGGATCTAGAAACCACTGTACACAAAAGCAGCCCAGGAAGAATGGGAAGGGAGGCCTAGAAACTCACATACAATGGAGTAAGTGGGAAAGGGAACCTAGAAACCTTCACAATCATGAGAGAGTTGTACTGAATGAATTTCAGGGCCTAGAAATCTCCCCACCCAGGAGACACATGGGGGAGGACCAAAAGCCCCACAAGGCAGGGACCTGGAAACCACTGCTGACACAGGAGACATCTGGAAAATGGCTGGGATGGGGGCAGACGGGAGAGACAACTGGGACGTTCTTTTGGAGGCTGGTTTGTGCCTCCCCGTCCCCCACCCCTCTCCCCGGTGCAGTCTGGCTGGGCTGCCCTGCTTCCTGGCAGGCACTAGTTAATGAAGACATGGGAAGCACCCAGCGCCTGCCCTGCTCTCTCTGCTCCTGACTGTGGGGTCAGTGACGGATTCAGCCGTGGGAGCCCCCCACCCTGCACGAGCCCTCCCCCATGGCTCTCCATGACTTCTGGGGCCCTGCTACCTCTCTGGCAAGCCTCTCCCAGCCCCTCGCAGCCACCCCGCTCCCTCACCCCCCTCCACCCACTACGCACTCCAGAGCCTCTTAAGCATCCTGTCAGCACGGGGCGGGCGTGAACAGGAGTGGGGGTCAGCCAGCCCTCTACCTCCCCGAGGCCCCTTCACTGGCCTCTGCCAGAGACCCTTGGTTTGGAAACATTTTTCACCCAGCCCAGGGGAGGAGGGAGAGGTGAGATGAAGGCTGAATTAGGCTGAGCAGCTCCATCTGGGACCCCATGCAGAACAGATGCCTGAACTCTCCCAGAACAGGCCTCAAACTCAGGACCACCTGTGGGAGGGGGCCCCCCAAGAGGTAGCAGGGCCCCTGCCCATCCACCTGCCTCCCCTTCACCCATTGTCCTGCCCCTGCTTGCTGCCCGCCTGGGATGGGACCCGCTGGCCTGGGGGCTGCATGAGGCTTTGGGGGCTGGGGGACCAGCTCTGTTGGGGGCAGGTGGGGATGAGGTTCATGTGGGGAAGGGCCCTGACAGCTCCTATGCACAAATCCACCTACCAACCCCCACTTAGTGAAGCTTCTGGAGCTATTGATCTGGCTGTGACTCAGCAGTGACACCCGGTGGTTATGAGGATGCACTGCAGGCACTGCCTCGGAGCGACAGGGCTGAGCTGGCCCATCTACACCAAAGCTTCTACCCCTTACTTAGACAGGAAAAACTGACGCACAACTCCATAAAGCGACTTATTGGCAGAACTGGAGCTGAAGCCCAGGCTTTTCAGCTCCCAGGACTGGAGGAGCCATCTAACTTTCCCCAAGCACCTCCTTGATAGGTGCCAGGCCCCAGGCTAGGCACTGTGGCAATAGATGTATTTTGGACATAGTCCCCACTCTCAGGATGGTCACAGTGGGGTGGGGGGAAAACAGACCAGTACCAGCAGTGACAGGACGGGGGAGCTCAGCTGTGATGTGGGAGGATTTAGCATCTTCCTGGATGAGGGGACCCAGGCTAAAGCCTGAAAGGTGCACTAACCAGACAAAGGGTATGCAGGCAGAGGAGTGGGAACATCACATGCAAGGGCCCTGGGGCACGAGTGAGCCTGGTTGTGATTGAAGAGCTGCAAATACTTGCCGTGGCAGAGTGTGTCAGGCAAGGGGTGATACAGAGGTCAAAGGGGCTTTTAGCACATAAGAGGCCAAGCTGAGGAATTTGAACTTTGCTCTATGGACAGTGGGGAGTCATTGAAATATTTATAAGTAGAGGAATGAAGTGATCACGTTTTTGTTTGCAAAAGATCCCTCTGATTGCCGTGTGGAGAACGGATGGGAGAAGAGAGCAATGTGGTAGCCGAAAGAGAGACTAGGCTGGAGGCTGTCACGGTCATCCTGGCAAGAGACTCTGGGGGCTTGAACCGGGAGGGGGGACAGAGAGGATGGGCAGATGTCAGTGAAGCTAAGAAACGCTTGGGTGCTAGCCTGGCTGTGAGGGGGAGCGAGAAGTTAAGGGAGATGTTTACAATAGTAAAAGAGCCAGGAGATGCAGCCTGCTGAGTTTTGTCCATGGAAAATGGGAAACGTCTGTGTGACAGCCAAGTGGGGTATCCAGCAGGCCCTGGACACTCAGGCCAGGCTGGGAGGGGACTGGGGTGTCACCAGTGCAAACAGCAGGCCACTCACCAGAATTTTTTAAAATTTTTCCCCTAGATTTTTACTTTAAAAAATTTCAAACAGAAAAGCTGTCCCCTTCTACTAGACTGATCAATTATTAGTACTTTGCCACATTTGCTCTATCTGTATATATTTACAGCCCTTGTTCTAATCCACTTGAAAGTAATTTGCAAACCTCATCCATATCTCCCATAACACGTCAGTGTGTCTTGAAAGAATATGGGCCTTCTCCCAAAGAACCACAATACCACTGTGACAGCAAGGTGACATTAATTCATTGAAGTGACGCCTCTTAATATACAGCTTATGTATCCATTTTACCAGTTGTCCCCAAAATGTGTTTTGTAGCTGGTTTTCAAAAAAAAAAATCAAGATTCATGTATTGCCTTTGGTTGCCATAAATTTCTCTCTAGTCTCTTTCAACCTAGAACAGGCCCCCTGCCTTTTTCTTCTTTTTCTTGTCTTTGTCTTTTTGTGACTATCCCACTGTCTAGATTTGTCTGATTGTTCCCTGGTGATGAGATGCAGGTTCAATACCCTTGGCCAGCGCACTGGTGGGAGATGCAGTGCCCTCTTACTGCATCTGCTCAGGAGGCTCGTGATGTCAGCTTGTCCCACTGTCCATGCCAGCAGTGGCTTAATGTAATTTGTGGAGCCCATCCATTTTTAGATGGAGGTAATGCTTAAAGAGAGATTACTTTAGGGTGCAGCCCTTGGTGACCCTGTGACCCCCAGGCTTGATGGCCAGTTGGTGGCCTGAGGGTAGCCCCATCCATATGACGTGGACAGAACACCTGGATCATAACGGACAGTCCCAGCATGGCCTCAGTGGGCTCACTTAGAACACATTGGGTTGTTTGATGTTTTTGTGGGAACAGCAACCTTGAAGGTAGTGATTGTACCAAGATGTATATTATACAGCATCCCTTCATTTAACCTGTACTAAGTAAAGGACTGTGAGAGAGACGCCCAGATCTGTCAGGGCTGGAATAGTTTATTTGCCACCCTGGTGCTCTGTCGGAATTAAGAGTTCTACACTCTGGAATAGCTTCAGTCTGGACTAGGGAAGAGGAAGGAGTGAGGGGCTGTGGAGTTTTGACAAGACCATGGACTGGGTGCTGGGGAAGGAAAGGACAGATTGGGAGGGAGTGAAGGTGAGGGCCAGCTGTGGTCCCTGGCCAGAGCCCTAGGCAGCAGCTGGCACCACTTGAGAAAGGAGACTCCCAGAGCAGGGAGGCCAGGGGCTGCTGGCCTGTGGGCTACTGCCGCATTGCTGGGTGTGGATGCTGGAGACTCAGCTGAGAAGAGAGGGCGGGGCTGAGGCCAGGGCACTAGGAGGAGCAGTGTAGGGACCTGGAGTAGTCACAGCTCAGGGAGGTATGAGCCCAGAGGCTGTGGAGGGGGCACCTGGGCCTGAACTTCAGCTTTGCCAGCGTTTAAAGCATAGCTTCCCAACAGCGAAGCCCTCAAACATTTTGTAATTTTACTCGTATGTTCGTTTTGAAGTGAATGGGAAGGATGTTGGTAAATAGCCTGATCCCACTGACGGAGTTAATTAGGATGAGACAAACGTAGTATATAAGGCAAAATTGGGTCAATTTAAAGAATATTAGGTAAACAAAAGTATAAGTGGCCCAGGGATGTGGCAGGGATCATGCAGATGATGTGAGAACAACTGGTTTCAGGCAACAGAGCTGGGGGAGGGGCCAGGGCAGGTTCCGGGGCAGGGGAAGGCAGCGCTGCCCTGCAGACTGGCCTCCTTTGCCCCCAGCGCAGCAGGATTTGCAGGGTTGTGGGGAGAGAGCAGCCAGCTGGGTGGGATCTTACCAGGGGGCTGCTTCCGCCTGCCTTATCCCTCTCCCATCCTCCCCTGGCCTTGTCCCTGCTGTCCGTGGGCCCTGGGCTGCGGCAGGTGGTGCGGGGCTGCAGGTGCATGTCCAGGGCGGGGCATGGGCCACCAAGAAGCTTTGCAGGGCCCCTCCCCTGCCCCCTTCACGGCTGCATCTGTCTCTTTCCTCCACAGGGGGAGGGGTTGCACCAACTACGCGAGGCTTTGAAGATTTTAGCTGAAAGGGTTTTAATCTTGGAAACAATGATTGGGCTCTACGGTGAGTAGAGACAGACAGACGGACAGACAGCCCAGCCCCCGCCCGCCAGCCTTCCCCAGTCAAGAGGCTGGAGAATGGACCTGCCCCAGGCAGGTGGGGGCCTGAGAGGCCAAGACCACCCCTCCCTCAATGACTGACTGGTCCCTTGTCCACAGGTGAACGGAGGCCCTAGCAACCCGGGCCCCTACCCCTGCGGTCAGACCCGGGCCTCTGGGCATTGTGGGTAATGTGGTTTCCAGGCCTGCAGGGGAACCAGTGCTAACAGATTCCGAGTCTGAAAGGAATTATGGGCAATGGAGCCAAACTCTAGAGCAGCAGGGGACTGTGGGTAACAGCCAGACTGCAGCAGTGCAGGGGATTGTGGGTAATAAAGTCAGAGCCCAGGCCCAGCGGAGAATTATGGGTAATGGACCCAAGACTCCAGCGAGGCTTTGGCTGTAGAGAAATTGTGGGGAACAGAGCCAGTGTGCACATCCACAGGGCAACAGACATGGGGCTAGACTCCAGAAGTGCAGGGGGCTGTGGGTGACAGAGCCAGGCTCGGGCCCCAGGAGACTCTGGGGAATGTACCACCCATCAGTTCCGACCCCAGAGGCTCTCACTGAGCAGGCTCTCCTGGCCCCAGCGTTCCCCTTTAGTGGGCTGAGACCCTTCCCCAGGCATTCACCTACCAGTTCATCACCCATCTGGTCACTTGAGGAGCCAGGCCAGTCCCATCCCCACTTAGAAGGAGAGACCAGGGTCTCAACTGAGACTTGCCCAGGCTCCTGCCTAGGAGCCCTGCCCCCGCCCTTGGCTCCCTGGCCCAGACCCCGGAGGCCGGACTCGCACCGTCTGCTCTTCTCGATCTCCCATCAGGCTCCTAGCTTACAGAGCTTCCTGCAGCAGCAGGCTCAGCTGGAGCTCCTGGCCAGACGGGTCACCCTGCTGGAAGCCATCATCTGGCCAGGTAACGGCAGGGCGGGCAGGCAGGGGCAGCCCCTTCCAGGAAGGGCCTGGGGGACACAGAAGGCACCTTCCAATGCTGGACCTATGCTAGCAGACCCTTGCTCTTAGCCCTTCCATCCAGCCCTCAGACAGTGCCTGGCACAGAGAAAGCTCCAGTAACTAGTTCTTGAGTGAATGAGCACAGGCTCCAACAGATAACAGTCCTGGTCTCGTGGAGCTTAGGGTGCTGGCAAGGGAGCCCTGGAACTGGCTGTTAAACCTATGGTGAGGAATATCACAGGCAGCCACGAAAGCACAGAAGTGCTCCTGACATAGATGGGGAGATGGCAGAGGGCATCTAGGGAGAGCTTCCTGGACGAGGAAGTGTCTAAGAGGAGACATGAAAGGCAAGGACCAGGGACAGTGAACAGGCAGAGGAACAGCATGGACAAAAGCCAAGAGGCCAGAGAGAACCTAGAGGGATTGTTCCGTGAGGTTGCCGAGGGGTGAGAACAGGCTAGAAGATCTGGCAGGGCCCTGTTTGAGGTCTTCAAAGGTAGGTTGGGGAGGCACAGAAGGTTAGACACTACCTGGCTGTCACAGTGGGGCTCAGGAGGTCTCTCTGCATTAAACTGAAGCCTGTGGCTGGCCCTGGAGAGAACCAGGGATTGGCGGCCCTCGGGGCTGAGCCCCATTCCTCAGCTACCCACGAAGAGACCCCAACAGCTGCCCTTCTCCCACTTCCAGCTGCCCCATCTCACAGCCCAGTCCTAGCACATCAGTGCACATTGGCTTCAGACATCATGCCCAACCTCGCGTCTGTTTTACAGATGGGGAAACTGAGGCCCTAAGCAGGAAGGAGAGCCAAGGTTAAAGCCAAGCCTCATTCATTCAGCAGAACTGTAGGGTGTACCTACAGCATGCCAGGTCTGGGCAGGTGCTGAGGCAGATCTCAGAGTCCCTGCCTGGGGGAGCTGCCCATTGAGTGGGGGATCCCCAACACCTCTAGAGATGAGGGTCATGGGGTACAGTAGCGCCAAAGGGTGTGTGAGCGGAGAAGCCTTCCTGGAAGATGGAGCCCGTGTTAAGTTATGAATGATCCCTACGAGTGTGCCAGGAGGAGGTGGGAAAGCAGCCCTTACAGAGCCTGGTGTGGGCAAAGGCCTGGAGGCTGGAAGGTGTGCGGGGTCTTGCTTCCAAAACTCCTCTCCCCAGGCCACGTGGCTTCCCTAACTTCTGAAAGTGTCACCATCTCCCAGACTTTCCCTCTCACAAAAGAGGGACCAGGGACCAAATCCCAGGCTCTCAGCTCCTTTTCAGGTGTCCCCCACCTCCCTTCTCAGGAGGATTGGGCCAGGAGGATGTGGCCTTGGATCTGTATCCCACCCGCCTTCAGCCAGCTGTCTCCGGCAGCCTGGGGAGGAAGTACCAGGCTCCTGGGAAGGCTCAGGTTCAGTGTGGCCATGAGCCTGAAAGAGCGGCCCCGCAAGCCAGTGTGCGTTGTGGGCCTAGAAGGGGCTGTGTGGGAGGAGAGGAGCAGAGGTGGTGGGACCTCCCTCACTGGCCCATCATACACAACAGGTGCTAAGGGAAGACCCAGATGGGGCTCATGTTTAGATTCTAGTCAATAATGATAATAGTTATCAGCTGTCATACACCCAGCCCACATGCGCTGGGGGATTTACATCAACTGTCTCCAGTCATTGCAACAAGCTTTCTAGGTGGGTGATACCGTGCGCACTTCAGAGATGAAGAAACAGGTTCGGAGGGCTAGCGTGACTCCCCCAGGGACACAGGGATAGTGATGGTGAGGTCAGGGATCTGCCCTAGGCCTGTCCTCTAAAGTGCTGGCTCTTTGGGCTCCATCAGCAAAGGTTCACTGACCCCTCTGCTCTGCTCAGCACTGAGTGGGGCCCAGGCAGGGGAGACCAAGGGCCTACATCTGATCCTGTCGGAACACCATCTCATGACCCACTCACAGTGACCAGACCTGCAGGAGACCGGGTTGAAAGCACACCAATCAAGTGACCATAGTGATCCAGAATTTACTGTGGAAACCACTCTCCACTCCTGGTCATTTTAAACACTTTGTGAGGGTGTGACAACAGGAGTGTCATCCCCATGTTGCAAGTGAGGCCCAAGGATTCTGGGATTTGCCCAAGGCCACTTAAGTGGGACATGGTGGGGCCAGGACTTGGCCCTGGATGATGTGGAACCTGAGCTCTGTGCTGCCCTCCTCCTGTGCTCCCTGGTTTAGGGCACGATATGTTCCTTGACTGTGACCGCAGATACCTGTCTGCCCCAGGGGCCTCAAATCTCAGCCCAGAAGTACATGGGAAGCTACAGCGCACAGGGTCAGGGCACAAGACAGGTTACAAGGGTATAGCTCATTGCCCTGGCAGTGCCTTCAGTGGGAAGCTGGTGCTCCCAGAGTCCAAGTGTCCGTCCTATGAACAGGGTTTTGGAGGCTCAGCCAAGTCCTCCATCCTGGGCCTCTCCCTTGGAAAAAGTCCATCCTCCTAACCTAACACCTCATTTAACTTTGAGAGACTGAGGTAAAAGTCACAGAAGGCTTCCTGGAGAAGGTAGGCCCTGTTCTGGGTTTTGAAGGCTGAGTAGTTTTCCAGATGGGAAGAATGCCAATTATTCAGTTTCACTCTTGGAGGCCAGCTTATTTGCAGGTTAGGTCATATCTCACCATAGCCAAGTTGGAATTGACTTCAGTAATTATTGGAGCTGGCCAGGGCCTCATTGTATTTGGAATCATCCCCCTGGTTTTAGAGATGAGAACCTGAGGCCCTGACAGAGGTCCAAAGCCACCCAGGTCAGTGGTAGAGCCTGACCTTCCTAAACCCTTCCCCACTACAGGTGGCCTAACCCGAGGAGAGAGGAAGGGTCTGATGCCTGACCTTAGTGTACCCAGATGTGAAATGGCGATGATTCAGGGCACATGTCCACCCCAAAATGTGTTAACGAGAAAAAGCCATACTTTTCATGGAACATTCACATGTGCTCATCATTTCAGAAATATGGTGGATTCGCTCATCCCCACTTGACAGAGAAAATCAGAGGCCCTGAGTGTGCTAGCTGGGTTAAGGGCTAATAACTCCTGGGAGGAGGGGCACTAACCAGCTGTGAAGACCCCCGTATTTCCCACAGCTCTGCCTCCCAGAAGCCAGGGCAGAGAGCCCACCCTCCACCCACCGTGGGCCGAAGGGAGGCGGGCCCTGCACACAGATCTCACTAACCCGGCCTCTCTCCTTCCCTCCGGCAGAACCAGAGGGGTCGGGGGCAGGCCCTGCCGGCACAGGCACCCCCAGCCTCCTGCGGGGCAAGAGGGGAGGATACGCAGCCAACTACCGGATCGTGGCCCCCAGGAGCCGAAACGAGAGAGACTGAGGGTGGTGGCGGCCCCTCCAGTATGGCCGGACCAGGCTTCCCTGCCCAGCCTGGATGTGGCCCGCTGCCTCCAGGGTCCGTGCGTCCATATTTATTAATATCCTCAGGGTCCCTTCTGCCACCTAGGCCTTTGGGGTAGGCAGGTCTTGGTTCTGGCACCCCGTGCACGTCTGCCCCATGGGGCTGGGCCGGGACTGGGGCCTGAGAGGGAGGCGAGGCTCAGGGCCCTGGGCCCATTTCCCTCTGTGAAGGGGCAGGGCCGGCCTGCGGGGAGGGCGTGGCAGCCGGCAGCTCCTGTCTCATCTACTGCCTGGCCTTCCAGGCCCCAAGCAGCTGAGGGAGTCGGAACTCCCTCAGGCACAGGCAGGGGTGATGGAGCGCAGTGTCGCCACCCCTCCTCCCCAGCCAGGCCTGGGGGCGAGCCTGTACCTCTCCTCCCTTTGTTTTCCGGTGCTGTTTTCTCTGAGGTCAAGCTACCTGATCTGACTGAGACCTCCTAGTCTGTTTTGACCCCTGAACCCTCAGCCCCTCCCATGGCCGGGTAGTGAGTGTATGGAGAGGGGAGGGCCACCTGCTCCCACAAATGCTTGTGACAGACACCAGGAGGTAGATGTATATCAGCCAATAAAGGCCCCCAGCCCGATTCCCTACCCCCAGCCTGGTCTCTGTGTGCTTAGATAGGGGCAGCTGGGCAGGGCCAGGAGCCTCTCTCCTCTTCTCAGTGGCCTTCGCTACCCACCTGCAGAACAGGGCTTTGAGGCTGGGGCTCCTAGGGGCCAGCTGGGGAGTGAGGGTCGGTGAGCAGCCCCCAGGTGTCCAGTCATGGCTACAGCGTCAGAGAGGCCAGGAGAGCAAGGAGCCACCAGACCCTGGGGTGCCACCCTCCCACCGCCACCACCCCCAAGCCTGTTTCCTCACCTGTGAAATGAGTCTGTTGGCCTGGTCCTCAGGTTTCCCAGTCTGCTTCTGGCATCTGGGCCAGAATAGCAGGGTCGGTCTCCACAGCCCCTCCACTCTGGCTGTGGCCTGGGGTACAGCCCTCACAGGTGACCAGTACCCAGGTTGCTCCAGGACCTGCAGCTCCCTGCACCACTCCTCAAAGTCCAGCCCTCTGCCCTACCCCTCCCTCAAGCCCATCAGCACCTCACACCCAGGCCCCACCCTCTGTCCTCTGGGCTCTGCTGCACCTCCCCTCCCTAGGAGGGGACAAGGACTGAGACGGGCCATGAGAGAGAGGCTACTTCTTAAAAGCTGAGGAATCCTTTCCCCTACATTGCTTCCTGCCCAAGGGGCCCAGCAGTGCGCCACCTCGAACCTCAGAGCCAGCCCTGGGCCAGGCCTGAGGAGACCAACTGAACTGGCACCAGGGGCTGTGGGCAGTGAAGAGATGCTATTCCTGGGGAATCAGGGAAGGCTTCCTGGAGGAAGGTCTCTGTGTAGGCCAAGACCTGGGGATGGGTCAAAATTAGCTGGGACACAGCAATGAAGAATGCTCTTTGGCCAAGGGTCCAGCCCAACAAGGCCCTGAGATGGAGGACATAGCTTCCCACAGGAAGAGGCTGCACAGTAAATAACACTGCGTCTCTGGACATCAGGGAGCTGCTCTGCGCAATCACTGCTCTTTCACTGCTCATTCACTCACCCATTCATCCCCCTGATGCCAACACAGAAGACTCAGACACAACTGCTGCACCCAAGGAGGTCCAGGTTGAAAGGTGAACTGGTTTTTATTCCAAACAGGACCAGGGTAGGGTGCAGAGGGGCCGCTCCTGAACCCCACCGTGACTCTCAGCAGACTTCCCGCCCACAGGCCAGGCCTCTTCTCACCTGAGGGCCTGCCTGTGCTAGGGGGGCCCGGGGCCCTCAGGGTGAGCCAGCCCACCCCTCCCCTGAGTCACCAGTGCCTCGGTGCCCACCTCCCTGCTGACCAGCAGTGACACAGCACCCTCCACACGGCCTGTGGCCGCCAGTGCCACCACTGCCTGCTCCGTGGGGAAGCCCATGCGCTCCAGCTGCTGCAGCCTGTGGAATGGAGGGGCGGGGGAGTGTCAGGGCTGCCCCTAGCCTCCAGACCAGGGGACCCCACCCCTACTCACCCCACCTTACCGCAGAGAGGAGACGGAGGACTTGGGCAGCCAGAGTGGGCTCTCAGGACCCTGGGCTGGCCCCTCGAGGAGCGAGGCCTGGATCCCCTCCTGCAGCATCTGCTCGTCCAGGGCTGCCCACAGCGGGGTCCCTGCGGGGAAGCTGGGCCCAGATCGGGCCAGTCCCACCTCTGAGGAGCCCTCCCAGAGTGGCTGCACAGGCCCCAGGCCTGGTAGGACCAGGGCTGAGCCTTCACGGCAGGACCAGAGGCTAGGGGAGGCCATGCAAGGAGGTCCAGGGGTGGGAAGCCTGGAGGGGCAGAAGGAGAAGGCCTGACTGCCAGCCACCAGCATGGCTTCCACCACCAGGGCCAATGTCCTCAGCATCACCCTCACCTCACTCCGGCAGGATGGGTGACAGGCAGCTCACCCAGGCCGCCTGGGGTGGGAAGGAGCTGGAGTGGCCAGCACCTCGCCAGGGCCCTGCACAGGACACCCTCCTGCAGCACCTGCAGCCGCCGCTCGGAGAGCTCCAGCCACCAGAAGGCCCCGGCTGCATCTGTCTGCCCAGGGCAGGGCAGCCGGTCAAGGAAAACCACATCCAGCCAGGAGTGAGCCCACACAGCGTGCCAGGCCCTGTGCCAAGTGTGTGACAGGCATCCCCATGCGTCTCCTCACCGTGGCCCTGCCAGGTCATCACCCTTGTCAGCAGTGGAGGCTCAAAGAGGAACAGGGACTTGCTCCCCAGCCAGCAGGAGGTAGAGCCTGATGGGCCTCACTCCAAAACCTGTTTCATCCCAATTCAGCCACCCCCTTGCCTGCTGTCCCCTGAGCCCTGGGTGCCCACTCAGGTCTGCGGCTCCAGGCCCACCCTTGGGCCCAGTGACACACCCCAACTGCCCTCAGGCAGGGCAACGTGCCCCCTCCAGGATTCAGCCAGGTGTCCCTAGCACTTAACAAGGAGTGGGGGTCAGCCTGTGCCCACCATTCCCTCCGACTGCACTGTCTCCCCCGACAGGCATTTAAGCACCTTTGGAGCAAAAGCCTGTGTTTAACACACCTGCACCACCAGCCACAGATCGTCCCCCACCTTTGGTGCCCAGAGAGCCCCAGGCTCGTGGTCAGCTGGGCCTTCCCACCCTCTGCACAGTCTGCAGAGCCCCAATGCTCATCTCCCACTTCTCTTCACCTGAACCTGTCATCTTGCACAGTCTTGGGGTAGATGCCACCTCCACTAGGGACATCCAGATGAGGTGCCTCCTTGGGCCCCTCAGCTTCTAGGCTCCCTTTTAAATTGTAATTGGCACCTCTACGTGGCCACGGCCCCCACTTCCCAGCCCAGAGCCAGGCCAGAGGAGGACTGGGAGGTGCTCCTGGAACAAGTGTGTGAGTTTCCTGCATGTGGGGCCTGACCCGCCCTGTGCCAACTCCTTCCCAGGTGCCCTAAGGGCCCAGCCACAGAACCACACATCCACGCAAGCCCTGGGCCCAGGCAAAGGATACAGGCCAGGCCAGCAAGGAGGCCACAGAAGAGCTGCAGGAAGGGTGGCTCAGGGCTGAGCAGTGGTGTCAGGGCGAGCAGCAGCCATGGCAGGAGCCAAGGTGGCAGTGCCCCCCGGGGCTGTCTAGGGTGGTAACCCTGCCCTGCCAGCATAGCCAGGTGGACAGGCATGTATCCGCAGCCACCGGCTGCACTGGACACCCCGAGGCCTGCCAGCAGCACAGCCATCAGCCCAGAGGCCACGGCAAGCAGGGTGGAGGCGTGCAGGAATCTCAGTGTGCCCAGGTGGCACTCTTGCCGCCAGCCCAGTGTGGGCAGGAGCAGCAGGCTCAGGAGCAGGCCAGGTAAGGCCGTGTGGCCCAGCACGTGTGTCAGCAGCCGGTGCACTGGGGGAGAGAAGGAAGGGGCTTATGTGCCAGGTTGGTGGCCCTAACCCCCAAGGCTGTCTCAGGTGTACCAGGTGGGGAATCACCCTCTGCCAGGACCCCCCACTCAGCCAGCCTCCCCACCCCAGGAGCCAAGTCTCCTGCCTCCTCCAAGGCCCATGTGGCCAGCCCTCACCCTGCCAAGGGTCCAGCAGCAGATCTGGGGCCAGGACAAGGCTGGGGCCAGCCCCCAGCAGCCACAGGCTGCTCATTAGCAGCATCAGGACGGAGGAAGCAAGAGGCAGCGCAGGGGACAGCAGGCCAGGGGGGCCTCTGGCATGCATAGCTTGGCTGAAGGTAGTCAAAGGTGGTCTTGGGGCTGTGTGCTGGGGGTAAAGGAAAACAGTAACAGCAGTTATTATTGCAGCTTGTATCAGACTTCCTTTCAGCTGCCCAACAGTGCCATTTTACAGAAGTAGAAACGGAGGCTGGAGAGGCCGGTCCAGCAATTTGGCCACAGAGGAGCTCAGAGCCTAGCCATGGCTTAGCCATCTTACTATCCACTGCCTATGTGTGAGGTTGGGAAGGGGCCAGGCCAAAAGTCCCTGAGCCCTGAGGGTCCCTGAAAAAGAGCCTGGAGTGGGAAGCACCGGGAATAGAAAGCTGAACTAGGGCCCTGGAGTCCCAAACAGAGGGGTGCAGCCCACCAGGGCAAATTTAGGGCCATCTCCAGGTTTCCTGTGCCTCCCTCTTACCTCCAGCTGCAGACCAGCCACCTTCTGTCCTCCTCCACTCCACTGAGCCCAGACTTAGAGCTCCAGGCGGCCTCAGCTGCCCTTGACCGAGGGGGCGAGGCCAGCCAAAGGGCAGGCAGATTAGGGAGGGGGTGGAGCAGAAGGGCTGGAGGAGGGGCAGCAGGAGTCCACGCCCTCAGCGCACACAGTGACACTGGACTGAGACTTGGAGCCCTGAACACAGCCCCTCTGGCCCACCTTCTCACAGAAAGGTTCTAGTATCTGCTTCCTCCTGCCAGGTATACCTGGGCAAGTTTGGAGCCTCTTGTTCCTCATCTGTAAACTAGGGATTAAGAAAATCCATTCTTCGTAGGATAAGAAAAAGGAATGGACTCAGGCCAGCCCACAGCTCCTGCTGGATAAACTGCAGCTGTCCCGGCTGTCCCAAACAAGGGGAGGCCTCAACATGGAAGGAGCCGCTCCAGCCTAGCTGGTTCAAGCTCTGGCTCTCAAACGTGCCAATTCCCTGCCCATAAGGAAAGGCTTTCTTTTCTCTGTTCTCCTCACATTCAACCTGTCCTCCAGGCCATGCTGGAATCCCCTCCCTCCTGTACTCCACCCTCTCTCAGGACTCCCACTGAACTGATTTCATAGAGCAAGAAGCAAAATCCCAAAGACAAGAAGTCTGCCTCATCTGCTCCCTTATCAAGAGCAGCCTTGGTATGAAAACCCAACCGCCAGTTTCCTGCAGGAAAAATATAGAAAACTCCTGCCTGCAATATCTTTCCCTTCTTCTCTTTAATAACAAACTCCTATTCACCCTTTGAAGCCCAGCTCAAATGTCCCCTTCCCCTCCTCTGCCCCCCACCCCCCCGCATCATGGATCTTACTTTATCTAATGAGCACCGCTTGGTCTGCTTTTCTCTAGGCAGATGGTCTCAACTGGCGGGAGGAGAGGTTCTCCTCTTACTCATGGCCAAGTTCCGCAGAGCGCTCCTAGCACATAGCTAGTGCTTTATATGTGTTCACTGAAAGACACTAGCTTGGTTTCAGGTCCCGCTGAAGGATCTGGGTGAGCCTTGCCCTTCGCTGGTTCTGGGCATCTGCCTAGGGAGACTTGGTTGAGTCCAAGAAGTCAGGCAGGTGCCAGCCCTCCAGGGAGCCAAGGCACCAACTGCAAGCCGCCTCCTGCATCCTCACAACCATCCCCCCTGGGTACTTTAGCAAGAGTGAAGGACATGCCCATGGACAAACAGAACCGGAATTTGAATGCTCCAGGCCTCAGTTTCTTCATCTATAAAATGGGACTGTGCACTATCAGGCTTTGCCTACCTCATCAGGAAGCAGGGAGGATAGAATGGAAAAACAAGGCCGGGAAAGATTCTTCTGGGTGATGGAGACAGTGGGGGTGCCAGGGTGTGGGTGGGACTCAGCTTTGTGACTTTAGGAAAAGTACCCAAATTCCTTGGGCCTCAGTTTCCCCATCTGTAAAAATAAGGCTGTTGCATTGGGGGATGATTAAAGGGCCGTCTCAACCTCGACCGTTACTGCGGGACTCTCGGGCCGGGCGCTACGTTCGGGGCCTCCCATCCAGCCCACCAGCCTCGGCCCCCTCCCCTGCCGGCCCGGGCCACGTGTCTGGGGTACTCACTGCGGAGCGCGCCCTCAGCCCCTAGAAGGCCGGGTGGGGGCCCCGGCTGGGAGTCGCTACTCTAGCTTCCCGCCGGGGCCCGAGCACCCCGAGCCCATTCTGCTCGCACTCGGGCGCGTGACCCCGGCCAACCGGTCGTCGCGCCACCCCCTCCTTCGCCGCCCGCCGATTAGTCAGCAGTTGTTCTAGGCCCGGGTCCCTTCCCCCAGCCCTCCCGCCGGCCTCCGTTTCCCTCCAAGGCAGACTCTTCAGAGACGGTCCCTACAGCTAGCGGGCGTAACCATTCCGAAAAACCTAGCGTCGACTGGAGAATCACGCCGACTTGATACCGAGATCCGCTCACCGGCCGCTCCCGCCCCTGCGGTGCTACTTTGGCTCCGCGTCACATCCGGTGCTCTTTAGAGAGGATTAGGACTAGACTTCAGGGCGGGAAGGACGAGAAACCTGTGATTCATCCCTCCTTCTCCCACCCCTGTAGCCTGGCCCGATGGTAGCGCCCGAGGTTGCGGATTTTGCGCCTGCGCAGTGCGGCGCCTAGAGGGAAAGCGAGAGGGAGACGGACGTTGAGAGAACGAGAAGGAAGGAGAGAAAATGGCGTCCACGGGTGAGTGTGGTGGAACTGCGGTCGCGCTGGCGACTGCCGAGACTCCCAAGTGGGGGGCTGCTCGTCTCTGTGGGTGGCTGGGATGGCTGAGTGGACTTGCCGAGAAAGGTGTGCGGTACCCG